GATGATCTTCCTACGGTCAAACGATCATCCAAACGCTTCAAGAGGGGAGCTGTAAAGGGTCAAATGTCACAGCCTACACCACAACCCACTCCTTAGCCTGAATTTGGACAGGGAACCTCATCTCAACTGCCTCCAAAATCAACCACAGTCCCTACATTCTTTGATGATGCTGCAAAAGACAAACACTCCTGGATATCCCAGAAAGGTGTCATCCCTCAACGCACTGTCAATTCTTCTGAATTTCGCCAAATAGGTTTAGAATCCATTCTGAGTCTGTTTTCTTTCCAGAAATGGTCACATCTCATTTCTATGCCCAATGTTTATTACCCTGAATTGTTGTATCAATTCTTTGCAAATCTTAGGAAAGGCACTGATCACACTGAAATCATGTCCAGGGTAAATGGGGTAGACTTAGTTCTTGATCCTGAAACTGTGAATGCCATCTTAAACATCACTATTGAACGTGGATGCAAGAGTAAAATTACAAATTTCTTTTCCTATGAAAAGTACCCTACTGCTGATAATCATTTTGATGGGGCTAAGATGCTGAATTATTTTAAAAGAAGTTTTTCTTCCCCTGCTGATGCTAAACTGAATGATCTTGCCCCTGTGAATCTAATTGCCTTTTCAATCATTTCAAACCTGCTTGTGCCTACTGATGGCCATAGAACAGATGCAAACAAAATGGAGTTGTATCTCTTTTACTGTTTTCGAGAAAAGATTCGCATTGATTTTGGTTTTGTCATGTGCAAGTTTTTACTTCGTTATGCCACTGATTCTCGCAGAAAATTATCTTATAGAAAATTTCTTCAAAAGATTTTTGATTTTTACAAAGTACCAATTCTAGGTGTTTGTCCCAAAGAAGCATCTTCTTATGCCTTTACCAAAGGATATTTTGAAAGGAAAAATCTTGTCTTTAAGGATAATCTATGGGCTTATAAGGGGGCATCATCCAGTGAACATAGGTCTAAGGCTGCACATGATTCTTCATCTATTGCACTCACTCCCATTCATCCCAGGAAGTCTGCCACTAAGGCATCTTCCTCCTCCAATGATGAAGTGATTGAGCTCCTTCGTGAACTCAAACAGCATGTTCTTCTTCTAGAACATGGTCTAATGTTCACCATGTCCTCTGAACATCAAACAGCCTACCTAGACAAAAAGAACCTTCTTTTTCCCCCACCTGTGATTGAGGAAGTTTCACATGGCAAAGAGCCACGCCCCACTGATCCAAGTTCATCAATTCCAGACCCAAACTCATCAACTCCAGTGACTCCTCATGGCCCTTCCACATTAGATAAAGGCAAGGCACCTGTTGAAGAAGCTGCTGAAGCTGATGAAGAAACTGAAGAGGAGGACCTCTCCCAATATCTGCTTTCTCGAAGGACACATGGATCCACCTAGTTCACCATTTAGGATCACATAGGGTCATTTGCATCTTGTTTGACTATTTCATATGTAGAAGTAATGTTTATGTTTATGTTGTGTTCATTTAGTACTTTTTAATGGATGATTATGGCTGTAATGGTTATGGATATCTGGATGAATGTTTCAGTATTTTGAATGATGAATGTGTGGATGTGATGAATGTTTTTGGTTCTCCGTGATATATGTGATTGATTGGCCTTTTGTGATGACAAAAAGGGGGAGAGAACTGGATTGGATTGATTGATGATTTAATTGGCTTGATGGATTGAATTGGTAAAATATTGGATGTTGGCTGCTTAATTGTTATGTTTTCTGGTTGATTGATTAATTCGGTAGGGTAGCTAAGTAAGGGGAAGTTTTTCAAATTTTTGCTCTATGATCCACTAAGTAAGGGGGAGTTTTTTGTCAATTGAGAAAGGGGGAGCTTATATTGCAATCATCAAATCTCATTTCAAACCATTGTTTTGTCATCATCAAAAAGGGGGAGAATGTTATTCTTGGTTTTGATGATCACAAAGGACTTTGAAATGTTTATCTAACTCTCTTCAAATATAAGTATTTTTTGCCTATCAAAGAATCAGGTACGAATATGAAATGAAAATCAACCAAAAGAAGAAGCAAAAACAGGACACTCATGTCGGACGTCCGAAGGAATCTGTCAGACGTCCGAAAGGATGAAGAACATCAAGAAGGAAATTCTGTCGGACGCTCGTGGGGAAGGATGAAGAACATCAAGAAGGAAATTCTATCGGACGCTCGTGAGGAAGAATCAGACGTCCGGATGGATCGGACGTACTCTTCGGACGCACATCGATCGTGTCGGACGTCCTAAAAATTCCACAAAGTGTTGATGACTCTCTGCCAAGACTCTGTCGGACGCTCGTAAGGAAGCATCGGACGTCCTGAAGGATCGGACGCATGCTTCGGACGCACATCAATCTCATCGGACGTCCTAAAAATTTCACGAAGATTTGATAACTCTCTGGACGACGTTCGGACACAGAAGCTCGGACGATAAAATCCCATCGGACGTCCGAACAACAACTTGACTGATTTAAGGACGATGGGATCGGACGATGACTAAGCTGTAGGACGTCCGACATCCCCAACGGCTAGCTGACTCTTCATCTGCCTTCTATCCGTTGGAAGCATTAATGAAGCCTATTTTAGGTCCCTTTCAAATACAAACGATTCTGAACAAGACAAGGACTTTTGCACACTTTGTTTACAAGATCTCAAGAGATATTTTAGCTTGAAAATAGTCTCCAAAGCTAGATTTGTTCTCCAAGTGGTGTGAATTTCTTGTGAGCATTTCTTTTGTGATTGAAAGTTTCTTTAGTGTAGCTTTGTTGAGGGTTATCTGAGTGATTGTAAAACTTCTTAGCTTGACTAAGTGAGACTTAGGGCAAGGAGGAAGTGCTCCCTCCATTGTACATCTAGTTGATCATCTTTCATCAAAGAGAAGTTGCTCAACCTAGTGATTGGTCTTCAAGTTTGAGGAAAGCTTGGTAGACAATCGGTTTGATATTCTATCTTATTCTTTTTTGTTTAATAAAATTCTCATTGCTTATCTATACTTGTTTTTCGAATCAATATTGCTCTCTTCTTCTAATCTACTTGATTGATCATTACTAGAAAAGAAGGTAAATTTTTATTAAGCAAAAAATTGCATAAATTTGATTAAGATTTTAATCAACTTAATTCACCCCCCTCTTAGGTTGTCTTTGGGCCTTACAATTCTATACACCTAATTAATAAGAATATACAGTGAAAAATAAAAATAAGGTGGAGGCCTGAGAGTTAAAATCAAGTCCCTAGCTTGTGTAGCAAAAGAATTGCCGTATGTTGATGTCATATATGTGTGACTAATTGTCTGGAATGTGAACCCTTAACTTGGAGCAATCTCTTACCTCATCATTCCTTCTTCCACTGGAGGTGGTGTTATTTTGAACATAGCCACACCATGCTTTGTCTCTCAACATTTTCATGCCATCCTCCATCAATATTGCAACATTATACCAAAAAAAAAAAGAAGGTCAAAAATAACTCCAGAAACATCTCATGTACTTATAAACATCTCATGTACCAGTGCCAGAATCTAATTAATTCATGACGATCGAGTTCGCGATATTCCTGACGCAAAGCGCAATGCATGCAATATGTATGAGCAAGGCAATCCCTACAATTGCTCCCTCTCAAGTCTCAACATAAATTGCCTCCTCATATATTTTGGATCGATTATGGCGAGTATAAGCGGAATGCATGCACAATAGAGAAAATAGCATGTAAAGAACAACCCCTTCTTCGCATGCTGCATCACCACCACCAGGCACAAATCAAACCCACAAATTTGGACAACATTATCATGCAATAAACATCATATATGTGTTTCCTTTCTTTTTTCTTGATATTGACACATAGTACTTGCATGTTTTTCCTTGGTTCACAATTTCAGCAATCCGTGCCGCAGTTATGCATAGTAATATAGGGTAATTTCTAAGAATAAATTAATCAGACGTAGCAAAATGTTGTGGTACAGAACCAGAATTGTTGCAGGAAGATGGAAATGTATGGAACTTCAGAAATGAATTTAGCAGGTTTGCAGACACAATGAATTCAAACGAACACCTTCATTGCATTCATTAACTTATAAGTCAAAATACAGAATTAGACTTGGTGGGAAAGTGTAGAAAGGGAAACAGAATGTAGGAAACTTGAAGAGAAAGGAAATACAAAGAGGAAATTCTCTTTGATTACAATAGCAAGATTTCAGCTAAAAAGTGAAATGAACATTACATGATCCTATCGTTTTATACTACTAACAATCTAACTAACTTCTCCCAATAGCTAATGGGCGAGCAACACGTGGCGGAGGGAATCTTTCAGTTGGTTTGGTCCCCAGCTTCAGCAGAGATCGTATGAACCCAGCAAAAGCGTGGTTCCTTGGGCGCGCCTTTCCCTGCTGCGTTTGTCAAATCCACGCCTTCTTCATTGTCTCCTCACGCCTTCATTCTCCCTATGTAATGCTAGTTTCTGATCGCGCCTTCCCAGTTACCCTTCTGACCAGACTCACGCCTTCCCTTCTTTGTCCTTCACGCTTTCTGACTTTTGACTTCATTACAATACTCCCCCCTGGAAATCAATCTTGTCCTCAAGATTGAAACCTGGGAAACTGTCTCTTAATCCCTTCAGCCTCCTCCCATGTAGCTTCTGCAGGATCTGTACCCCACCAGTGGATTAACCACTGTACTGCAGCAGCATTGCCCTTTTTCACCACCCTTCTATCAAGCACTGTCACTAGCTCGACCTTTCAATGCCCCTTCTCATCTATTTAAGGTAGCTGGAGAGTAGGAGTGGCTTTGTCACCCACCTTCTTCTTGAGTAGGGATACATGGAAAACAGGATGCACCTTGGAGGTGATAGGTAGTTGTAATCTGTAAGCTACATTCCCAATCCTCCTCCCATGTAGCTTCTGCAGGATCTATACCCCACCAGTGGATTAACCACTGTACTGCAGCAGCATTGCCCTTTTTCACCATCCTTCTATCAAGCACTGCCACTGGCTCGACCTTTTAATGCCCCTTCTCATCTATTTCAGGTAGCTGGAGGGTAGGAGTGGCTTTGTCACCCACCTTCTTCTTGAGTAGGGATACATGGAAAACAGGATGCACCTTGGAGGTGATAGGTAGTTGTAATCTGTAAGCTACATTCCCAATCCTCTTCTCTATCCTGTAGGGACCAAAATACTTAGCTGTGAGCTTGGTATTTCCCCTTAGAGCAACTGAGCTTTACCTATATGGTTGTAACCTCAGATACACCCAATCACCTTCCCTGAATTCTCTCTCACTCCTCCTTTCATCTACATATTTCTTCATCCTCTCCTTAGCTACCCTCAAGTTCTGTTTCAACATGTTGTCTATCTGCTGCCTTTCCTTTACATAGTCCCCAACTGCAGCCACTCTAGTTTGCAGGTAGGGTCCCAGAGCTAGTTGGGGAGGGGGAATTCCATATAACGCCTCAAATGGGGTCATCTGTATTGCTGTGTGGTGGGTGGTATTGTACCACTACTCTGTCAGAGATAGCCACTGGCTCCATCTCCTAGGTTCTAGATGAGTAAAGCATCTGAGGTACATTTCCAGCACCTGGTTCACCCTCTCAGTTTGACCATCAGTCTGAGGGTGATAGGCTGTGCTGTAGTTAGAGCTGTAAACGAACCGAATCGAACCGAGTATCTCATGTTTGAGCTCTGTTCGTTAAGCAGTTCGAACAACGTTCGTGTTCGTTCGTTAATTTTTGAACTCCAAACCTGTGTTCGTGTTCGGTTCGTTAAGTAAAATTCGTGTTCGAATTCGAGTTCGAGTTCGGCTCGTTTAACATAAACGAGCCGTTCGCGAACATGTTCGAAATGTTCGAATCCAATTTATTTTTTGCCTTAAATATGCCATGCAAATTATTAATCATTCTAAAAAATAATTAAAGCACTAAGTGACTAAATTATATTATTCATTAACTATATAACTAACATTAACAAAAAACAACAAATAAAACAAAGAAATTTGGCCTCCAAATATAAAAGTCCAGCCATAAAATTAATCCTAAAATTTGTCAAATGATAATTATGTCTATGTTCGCGAACGTTCGTTAAAACTTTCGAACATGTTCGTGTTCGCGAACGTTTGTTTAGCATGTTCGCGAACGTTCGTTAAAACTCGCGAACATGCTCGTGTTCGCTCGATTATTAATCGAACAAAAAAATTCGTTCGAATTCGGTTCGTTTAAAATTTCGAACGAGCCTTTCACGAACACGAACGAGCCGAAACGAACCGAGCTACCGAACAGCTCGGTTCGTTTAACAGCTCTAGCTGTAGTCTAATTTAGCTCCCAGCATAACAAAAAGTTCCCCCCAAAATTGGCTGACAAATATCCTGTTCCTATCTGACAGCATGCTCTGGGAAATCCCATGCAACTTACTGACATGATCAATGAAGAGCCTGGCTATCTTTGGTGCATCAAAAGGATGTGCTATACAGATGAAGTGAGCATATTTGGTAAACTTGTCCACTACTACCATTATGGTGTCTTTCCCTTCTGATCTTAGTAACCCTTCAATGAAGTCCATAGTGACATGGCTCCATGAATGTTGGGGAATAGGGAGGGGTTGCAGTAGTCCAGGGTAAGCCACATGCTCATCTTTACACTTCCTACATGTGTCACACTCCAGAACAAAGTTCTTGATCTCTTTGTACATACCTGGCCAGTAGAACAATTGTTTGGCCCTTATGTAGCTGGCCTGGATACCTGAATGTCCTCCCATCTGGGAGTCATGTAAAGCAGTGATGAGTTTCCTTCTGATATCTCCTTGTCCTCCCACTACCATTCTCTTTTTGTATCTGAGAACACCATCTTGGTAGGAGTAGTCTGGTACTTGAGTAGGAGTCAGTAGTGCCTGGAAAATTGTTCCTTGAACCCACACATCCTCCTTGTAACTCTCCATCACCTCACTGATCCAAGTAGGCACTGCACTGGAGATGGCCTTGCATTCACCTGTCTCATCCCTGCCCTGCCTGGAGAGAGCATCAGCTGCAATATTGTCCTTCCCCTTTTTGTAATGAATTTCGTAGCTCAGTCCCAGCAATTTGGTGAGCCATTTCTGTTGAAGAGGTGTTGTGATCCTCTGCTCTAGCAAGTATTTTAAGCTCTGATGGTCAGTGTGTATGATGAAGTGATGTCCCTCTAAGTAGTGTCTCCACTTGGTCACAGCAGTCACCAATGCTAGTAGCTCTTTTTCATATATCGATAACCCCATGTTCTTCTGTCCCAGGGCTTGACTGAGGTAAGAAATGGGTTTCCTGTTTTGCATCAGTACAGCTCCCATGCCTTGATGGCAGGCATCTGTTTCAATAATGAATGGTTGGGTGAAATCAGGTATAGCCAATACAGGGGTGCTACACATGGCTCCTTTCAGTTCTTAGAAAGCCTTCTCTGAATCCTCCCCCCACTGAAAGTTGTCCTTTTTCAGTAGGTTTGTCAAAGGTTTGGCTATGGCTCCATACCCTTTGACAAACCTTCTATAGTAGCCTGTTAACCCCAGAAACCCCCTCAGCTGCTTGACATTCTTTGGCCTGGGCCATTTCTCCATGCATTCCACTTTCATAGGGTCAGCTTGAACTCCCTCTGCTGATATGATGTGTCCCAAATATTCTACCTGTAGCTGTGCAAAAGAGCACTTGCTCATCTTAGCATATAGCTGGTGCTGCCTTAGTATATCCAGTACTTCAGTAATATGTTTGACATGCATCTCCAGGGTGGGCTGTAGACTAGGATGTCGTCAAAGAATACCAGAACATGCTTCCTCATCTGCTCTTGGAAGACCTGGTTCATCAGGTTCTGGAAGGTTGCAGGAGCATTGGTCAAGCCAAATGGTATGACTTTGAACTCATAGAGTTCTTGGTGAGTTCTGAAGGCTGTTTTTGGAATATCTTCCACCTTGACTCTGATTTGGAAGTATCCTGCTCTTAGATCAATCTTAGTGAAGTACTTAGCCCCATGTAGCTCATCTATCAGTTCCTCAATCAGAGGCATAGGAAACTTGTTCTTTACTGTTAATTCATTTAGCTGCATGTAATCCACACAGAACCTCCAAGTTCCATCCTTCTTCTTCACTAGCAGCACTGGGGAAGCAAATGGGCTACTGCTAGGTTGTATGATTCCCATTTCTAACATTTATTTCACTAACTTCTCAATTTCTGTCTTATGTACATATGGACACCTATATGGCCTCACCTGGAAAGGCTTGGCTTCTTCCTTTAACACAATTTGGTGATCATGGCTCCTGGTTGGAGGCATTCCCTTTGGTTCTGCAAAAACATCTCTGTATTGCTCTATTACCTGGCTGATCTCAGTAGGTATCTGATCTGGATTCCCCTCTTCTTCTACTGCTACTAACTGAGCTATCACCCCATATGTTTGCCTTTTTAACCACTTCTCCATCCTATTCCCTTTTTACATTTTCAACTCAGTGTTGGTGCTCTTCCCAAGCAGCACTACTTCTTGTCTTCCCTTGCAGATCTTCATGTTGAGTTCCTTCAAGTTGAATTCTATGGGACTGTGTTTGGCTAGCCAGTCTATCCCTAAGATCATGTTACAGCTACCCAACTTCAAGGTATTGAAGGGGTGTTGGAACTTATGGTCCTGTATTTCCCAATGCAATGGCCTACTAAACCCCTTGAGCCCACTCTTTCCCCATTAGCTACATTTACTATCAGCGTAGGTCCTTGTGTCCCCAATTTCAGTTCCCTTGCCAACTGCTCATCTATGAAACAATGTGTACTGTCATTATCTATTAAGGCAGTAATCTGCCTACCTCTCACCAATCCCCCTAGTTTGATAGTTTTGTGTCCCATACCTCCAGCCAAAGCATGGACAGATACCTCTATGTGTTCATCAGTCAAGTCCCCATTAATACAGTCACAGTAGATCTCCTCTTCCTGTCCCTTGCTCTCCTCTGCAACCTCAATTTCCTCAGTCAATAAGAAATGCACATGAGACTGTTTGCATACATGGTCCCAAAGTGTAAGGTTCAGCACATTTATAGCATAGTCCATTTTCTCTTCTCAGGTTGAACTCTGTGGGGGATATTTTCTTAAATTGGCTCTGACTAGTTGCATTTTGGTCATGGAATCTGTTTAGGTGTTTGGAGTTGTTTTGGTTCCATTTGGGGTGGGGTAGAGCTTTACTGTGAATTTTTGGTTATTGAAACTAGATGTGACAGGTTTTTGCATTTTCTGGATAGCTTTGAGGTTCTTTTCCTGGAGCTTTGCCATTTCTATTGCAACAGCCAAAGTCTCAGGTTTAGACATCTTCACCATATTAACTATTTCTTCTTTCAATCCACTCATGAAGCATGCCTTATAGTAAGAGTCAGATAAATGAGGCAAGGATGGCATTACCAGAGCTTTCAGCATCTCAAACTTCTCAAGGTATTCAGCCACGGATCCAGATTGCACCAGTTTGTTGAACTCTTCAATAGCTTCCTCTGGGCTCCCTTCTCCAAATCTGATACTCAGAGCAGTAGATAACTCTGACCAGGGAATCGCCTCTCTACCATGGAAGACTCCATGGAACCAAATGTCTGCTCTGTCTCTAAAATAGAGCTCAGTCACCTCAGCCTTCATGTCCTCTTCTATTCCATGTATTTTGAAGTATTTGTTAGCCTTCCTAATCCACTCCTTTGGGTTATCACCATCAAAAATTGGCAGATCCATTTTAGGCAACCTGTTATTGGTTCTGGTCTCTCTTTTGCCAAAAGCTTCTTTCTGAGATTCTAACTTGGACTCATCAGGTCGAGCTCCTTCCCTTGAGTTGCTACCTCCCTCTAGTTCCTTCCCTCGATCACTGACCCTAGCCTTCAACTGAGCCATCATGTTCATCATTCCTTCATATTTTTCGTCCAACCCTTTCAGCAGCTTTTCAGTAGTATCCTGTCTGAACTCCATTGTCCTGATTGCTTGTTCCATTCCCTCGCTCTTGTTGGTAAAGGTCCTGACCACATTCCCTAACTCCACTACGTCTCTCCTCAGTGTTTCATCCTAATTTTTTGTCATCACTATGGCTCGCAATCGAGCTCTGATACCACTGTTGTGGTACAGAACCAGAATTGTTGCAGGAAGATGAAAATGTATAGAACTTCAGAAATGAATTTAGCAGGTTTGCAGACACAATGAATTCAAACGAACACCTTCATTGCATTCATTAACTTTTAATTCAAAATACAAAATTAGACTTGGCGGGAAAGTGTAGAAGGGGAAACAGAATGTAGGAAACTTGAAGAGAAAGGAAATACAAAGAGGAAATTCTCTTTGATTACAATAGCAAGATTTCAGCTAAAAAGTGAAATGGACATTACATGATCCTATCGTTTTATACTACTAACAATCTAACTAACTTCTCCCAATAGCTAATGGGCGAGCAACACTTGGCGGATGGAATCTTTCAGTTGGTTTGGTCCCCAGCTTCAGCAGAGATCGCATGA